GTTAATCATTTCCTGCGGGGGCAGAGAAAGGGGCTGGGAGAGGCTCTTCAACAGGGCCAGCAGGTGCCCTCCTGGGCGGGGGGGGGGGCGGCGGGCGACCGGGAGGGGGGGGGGTGAAACACCTGCAGCTCTTCATCGGTGAGCTTCTCCCCGATCTCAGCCGCGATCTGCTTGAGGTTCTTGAAGGCGATCCTGCCGCTGTCCTTGTCCACGAAGAGCTTGAAGGCCTTCAGGATGTCCTCTTTGGAATCGATTTCTGACTACAGGGTTGCGGGGAGGGTCGTTTCTCTCGCCCCGCAGAGCCTGCGCCCCTTCCCCAGGCTCCCCGCGCCCCCTCCCCCGCTCGCCCAGGGGCTTCCCTCCCGATGCCTCCCGCTTCCCGGGCAGAATTACACGGCAAAGCCGGTCCCCTCCCGCCCCCCGCTCTCGGGGTGGGTGGCTGGGGTCGTCCGCGCCCTCCGGGCTGACGGCCCTACCATCTTCTGGGCCATGACGGAGTAGAAGGCGTCGAAGCCGATCTTGCCCGCTCCTTCCTTGTCCACCTCGGCCACCACCCGGCGCAGCTCCTCCTTGGTGGGATCGAAGCCCAGGGCGCGGATGGACACCTGGGCGGGGGAGGGAGGCGGTGAGAACGGGGAGCCCCCCCCCGGCCAGCGCCCCTCTCTCCTTCCCCAGGCGGGCCCCGCTCGCCTTCAGGTCCCGCACGTCGATGGTGCCCGTCCCGTCCGCGTCCAGCAGGTCGAAGGCCTCGCGCATCTGCTCCTTGTGGGCCGCGCTGAGCTCCAGCTTCGGGCCGAGCTTCTTCCGCGCCGAGGCCGCCGTCCCCTTCCCTCGATGGGCCTGGACGGGCGAGAGCCTCGATGACCGCCGCCCCCCACCCAACCACCCCCGGCTCTTTCCCCCACCCCGCCCGCAGGCTGCCTCACCATCCTCCGCAGCTCCGGCGCGACTAGCGTTGCCGGGGCGACTCACGCGCGCGTGGGGGGGAACCGCCCGCCCTTCCCAAAGCCGCCCCGCCCCCAACCGGGCTCCCCGCCTCCCGCGACCCCCCCTTTCCCCCCCCAAGAAGAAAAGAGGCAGAGACGGAGACCAGTGATTTCATCTGTATTTGTCAGACACTCATCCGGACACAAAGGCTGGTTACACGAGCAAGCAGTCTCAACCGCTTTTCCTCCCCTCCCCTCGGAGGGGCTCGTCGGGACACACCCCTTTCCTTCCGGATCTGCCCCCCCCCNGCTGTTCCGACAGGCCTGGGGCTAAAGAGCTGTTGCCCCCCCGCCTCGAATGGTATGACTGCTGTGTGTTTTTTAAATTATGTATTGTTATGTTCCGTCTTTTTTTATTTCTTGTCTTAAACCCCCCCCCTCCCCTGATTTGAATTGTGAGCCGCCCTGAGTCCCCTTGGGGAAAAGGGTGGCATATAAATGTAATTAAATCAAATCAAATCAAATAAAAAAAAATAAGATTCAAGACCGGAAAAACACAAGCCAAGAGCCACGCGGAATGACTACTCCGAGCCCCTCCAGCCCACCTGTGACCTCCTGATCCTTGGCCAACCTCACCGAGAAGGAGGAGGCTTTTAAACCCCCCACTCCACCTCTTTTCCTCCCTGGGAGCTTCGGTTGCTTTTCATCGGTTGCAATGAAGTTCTGATGGGGGTCTTTTCTCGGGGAGGCCAAAGGTTGGCCCCCCTGGTCATTCAAGGGGGTGCTTCCACCCTTCCTGGCACATACACAGGCCACGCTCAACAGCTGCTTCTCTCAACCACCAGGGAGAAGCAATTACAACTTATGCAACTTTTATTTCTCTTGGCCAGGTAAGGCCAGTGTTACTTGTGCGCATAGCTGCCTCTCCCCCCTTCGGTGGAAATTTTTGCAAAGCCTTAGAACAAACCATCCCATTCAGGAGAGGAGGAGGCAAAGCTGGCCAGACCAACCACTCTCTCCTGCTAGCCCCCCCCCCTCCCAGTTTTTATGGACGCTTTGCCCCGTCACAAAATCTCAGTCGATTCCTGGGTTTTTGATTTTTTTAGTGGGGCCTCTCCTGCTGAAGGCGACTCTTGTTGTCTCTTGCGATCGATCGCCAGATGCTCTTCAGCCAGGAAGGGTCCTTGTTCAGCCTGGGAAGTTGTGGCTCTGCTCATACAACGTGTTGCCTGAGTGAAGAAAACGCAACCCTCATTCACACGACTTTTGCATGCAGGAACTCCCAAATCCACGTGTGGGAACAGCTTTGGGAGGGAAGGGAAGGTGCTTCTGAACTGTCGGGGGTTCCATGCCACCTGCGAAGCTGGTCTAATGGCCGGGACAGCTTCATAGATTCCCGGGGCCCCATCGTTCCCCACCCCCAGCCCTTTCAGTGAAAGAGAGACTTGGGGGTCCAGCATGTCTGGAAGCAGGTGCTGGGCGGAGGCGGGACCCCCAAAACCGGTCTCTTTTCTGCCATGGTCAGAAGGAGGGAAAGGAGACCCCCCCCCACAATAGCTCTGAATCCCCTCCTGTTGGTTAAGGTTAGAGGTCACCCATCTCCCTATCAAGCCATCCGAGAAGAGCCGAGGTGGCGCAGTGGTTAAATGCAGCACTGCAGGCTACTTCAGCTGACTGCA